CGATAAGCCTAAAGTATTAGAAGATCTCTTAAGTAGGAGCTAGCGACCGGCGGCGGATTCGACGATTAACTCTAAGGAAGACTCTCTTACTTTCGCGATTACAGAAGATAAAATTCGTAAGACTCGTACAAATCCTAACTAGGTCTCTATCGTTATCTCTTGCATCGCCGTTCTAGATCGGTGTCGGTTTTAATCTTAGATAGTTCTTGATATAGGCGATCTCGTCGCTATTATAGAAAGACTCTACTAATAGTTCCGGAAGAGGAACCAGGCTAAAGAATCTCTTTAGTAATAACTAAAACTACTCTTCGCTTATATAGCTTGATATCGGAGGTTCGGGTATATAGTCGTATCTTATAAATAGTGGTTTAATATCTCTAGATGGACGAGTAGGGAACAGCCTAACTATATTACGTATCTACGTTAGGAGCCGAACCTTAGCGCTGTGATAGTACGTCTATAGTGTTCTCCTCTGGTACCGATCTATAATATAGCGGTGTTTAGCCTTGCCTTATCTCTGTTCCCTAAGTAGTAGACTGCTGTTAAGTAATATGCCTGAATCATTATCTTCTAAAATATTAGTGTGAATATATGGTAAATCTTGCTAGCCGAGACCTTAAAGTAAAATATTATTAGAAAAATCGCGTTATATATCTTCTGTAGGTGTACGTGGCTACTAAGGCCGGAGAATCTCGAGAGTATTATCGTTAGAAAAAATCATGGGAGTAGATAGTGCGAGGCTCGGTTTATATAGCGATTCATTTCTGGGATTGTATCCTATATTTAAAACTATTCACGCGTGGCTACCGTATGCTGCTTAGTGAGTGTCAGGTATTAGGGCAGCCGGATGAATACATAATCCGTATAGATTTAGCTCCTCGACCTAGCGGCGAGGTTTGGCACTAGTCAGCTTAGTGGATGATATTAATAAGGCAGAAATATACAGTAGCTGTTTAAGGTAATCCGAACTATATAGTTTACGGATTTAGATGAAAGCTATGGGAGTTCCTGTTTTACTTATAATATTGTAAGGTATAGTGCCTAGTTAGAGCGGCGGTCGAAACGGAACAGCACTATGCGATTTTTTTAGAAGACCATTATAGAATAGGCTCTATATTAGGCCATTAGGGTGTCCAAAAGACCCGGATATAAAGCTAGCGGAGCGTAGAAGGCTGTCGGGTCTTATTTTTAGGGTCATAGAGCTAGTACCTATTTATTTGAAAATAGTGTAAAGCTCTATTTTCTACCATCAAAAGCCGCCTATATTAGTATTATATAACCTTAGTTACCAGAGCTAACTAAATCAACCTTCCGTAAACATTTAAAAACAAATATTATAACCCTCTCCTTTTCTTCCCACTCACGCGACGCAATATATACATTATAAACTTAACAGAGAATAACGAGAGTGACTAAATCGCTAGAGGCTCTTAAAAATACATCCGAACCTCGCAAACATACTACGCTTACCAAAATACTAAAGGCTACGAAGACCTAGGCAGTCCAAGGTTATAGTCAGGATCAGTAATTACTCCTAAAGCAGATCCTAAGCAGACCCGGAGCAGACCCGGAGCAAAAGGTACCTAGCTAGCTCCCCACCCATCCCCACGCTAACGCCATCTCTAACTCCCGAGGATACGTCGCTATCGAACCTATAACCACTATAGTAGCATTTCCCGAAATACTTTAGATCAGGTTAAAACTGACTATAAGTAAAGTATCTTGCTCGATATTCCACTATCTCATTTTCCCAACAGAACAACCGTAATAGCGAAGCGAATAGATATAAGAAACGCATTCCACAATCGGATAACGAGGTATATCAATTTACTTATATCGAGTTAGAAGGTAGTTAATCTTTAATCTAGATTTTGCGAGCGCTCTCCTGTTTCTGCAAAATTCAATCCGCCCTCTCCTACACCAAGATTATCCGCCTCTATGAACGGATCAAATCGACCAGTGATTGTCTTATCGACTACGATATCGAAGATCACCCGTTTTTATCGTCACCTGCAGAACTTACGTTATATCCGACATATACCATATACAGTAGTTCCTCTACATCCCAATATATTAGTAATACTCGCTATATCTATTTACGAGGGTCGTCGTGCTAACACCGCTTGCTTTATTAGACCCGTCGCTGCTAACTTTAGAAAAGGACGCACAAGACCGTAGTACGAGAACCTCAATCTTAACTGCCGGATCGAATCGATCTCGCTCGCCATCACTGCCGAGCCCTAGTCAGAGGCTGAACAAAACATCTTCATCTGAACTAGTTAGAGAAGCCTCAGGCGCCTTCAGAGAGCAAGACCCCGGCTTTGACTTTGACTCGACCTTTCGAGAGCTCGAAGAAATAGAACTACTTAGCCAATCGTCCAATGTTTATTTAGGGTCCTGCGATCGTACGGATAGCCCTGATCCCTCCATTCGATCTCCACTTATACGAAACGAAGGTCCAACAAGTGACATAGGGGATGTTAGTAAAGATGCACTCTCCACTAGTCAACTATACACTCCGGCTCCTACCTTTAGCCTTATCGAAGGAATAGGTGATCAACCGTCTCCTAGGCTTGCTCTAAACACTCTATCTAGCGGTAGTCCCGAACTTCGTAGGGTTAATATAGCGAACGTCGAAGAATATACACATTAAGAAAGCCCTAGGGCTACTTCGTACGATAACTGCCCTCAATCCCCTAGGACATCTTCTACGAGTTTAGGTTAGAGCCCCGGTACTCCGTGCTCTACCCCCGATGCAAGTACGGCCGTTATACCGATAATGATAGTATTATAACAGAGTAGTGTAGAAGCAGTAGAAGAGAACCAAATATTAAAGAGACGTCTAAGTAAGCGCCGGTTATTAAAATATCAGCCAATAGTTAAAGATGCCTCTAACGAAAGCGAGTATAATGCTAAGGATCTACTCGACGATTTTAACGAATTCGGAGATCTATCGATTAAGGCTATCTTGGATAATACGTATAGATTCCTAGGTGATACCTCTAGTGATTAAGAACGCTCTTCTTCTAGGATAACGAATAGTACGGGTATAGATACGAGTAGTTCGGCCTCGGCCTCCGACCTACCTAAAAGTAATAACAAATATACTCTACTATTAGATATAAAAGGAGACAGACCTCAAGCCCCTTCGCTAAACGAGAGCTAGAATATAAGCCGTAAACGGAAACTTTCATCGACAGCCGAATCCTAAGTAGCTCTCCTAATACCTAACCGTAGGTCTCGCTTTCGGAATAGTATTAGTCAAATAGTATTAGTTATTCCTAATCTAGATAACGATTACTAGGACGGTCGTTTCTCTAAATATATTCTCCTATCTACACTTTCGCCGGACTAAAAGGACGAAATTAGAAGAAAATATAGATTGATTATACATTCTAATTTAGCCGAATTTATAGAGAAGTACACTAAAATATAGAAGTCGACCGGATTTTAGTATTCTCTATTACTAAATCTACTAAGTAATACTAGTGCATCTGCTAGTAGAAAGGGTCGTGCGATTTAGAGGTATATAGAGGCGATTTAGGCTAAGGGCGAGACGAATTATCTTAAATCTCGGTTTATAGATATAATACTATATTTAGAGTACGTTAAAGAATTTAACTAGTAGAGGGAAGCTAGATATCCTAGTTAAACTACTAAAATTTATACTACTAACGCTATTTATAGTAGTATATATCTCTCTAAAGAAAAAGCGGATAAGACCCGAATATCTTTCTATAAGTATAAACTAGTTAGGGAGCGGTAGTAGTAGTCTAGATGCTACCTAGGCCGTAGATTTATTCTCCTATATAGCGAGGAAATAGGGAAGAAAGTGTAAGTTTCTCTGACTAGTCTGATCGTATTACTTACTCTAATAAATCTATAGATAAAGTAAATCCTTTAAGCTAGATCCCTTTATTTATATATTCTGTATAATTATAGGGGTATCCTCGCCTATTATAGCAAGTTCGATAAGATAGTAGATACGCTGTTAACTGACTGTAGATTCCCGAAGTAGATTAGCAAGAAAGAAGTCTAGTAGTAGATTAAAGATACTAGAGCCGCCGACTACGAAAGTGTACCTACTATTTATTAGCAAGACTAGAGCACCGATATAGTAGCGAGTAAGGCTGTAGATTTCTTTTTTACTCGGTTAAGCAATCGATCTTGATAACCCTAAGCTTAGCGATCTTTTAGGATTAATACGGTGACTCGCGGATTCTTTCGTATATTTAAACAATTCGGCGACGAGTCTTTAATATTGCGTATTAACGATCTAAGCCCTTTATAACTCTATATAATTCTTTTTTCCGCGGTGTATATCTTGACGTAGACCGGCGTTATATAACTATTTTCTAGGGTATTATACTTTATAAAGATAGAGCTAGGTAGTTCACCAATTCAGTATAACGATATTTATAGATTCTTTTTATTAAGTGTTCGAGCCTTTACGACCTATTTAGAATTCAAGACTATGTTTTTAGCAGTAAAAAGCTTCAATCCCGTTAGTCGGCGAGACTCCTATCCTTTTATATAGAGGCCCTTTCCCTTTAGCGTTGGGTTAGCGTAGACGCGTGTAGGAACGGCATATCTCATTAAAGTCGAGAGCCGGATTATTAAAATATATCACGGATTTTCTTCATGATCATCGAAAGGAAAATGGTAGAGGACCGTTGTCTTCTCTATCTCAGTGCTTAAATGCTCCATCAAACCATCCTTAATGCTCTGGATGACAGCCCTGTATCGTCCAAGCCCATCCTCATCTGAAACTCAGCCAAGGGTGTCTGTCCCAATTAGATCCCTCATCTCGCCCATTTCCTGTAGTTTCTCCTGTTCTTGGCGATGAACCTTCGAACATTTCTGCATCTCTTCCTTAGAAAAGTGGACTGGACACTCAACGGATCTCGTCTGTGCTCCTTCATCCAGCGACATAAGCCAATTTTGAGGACCTGCGACAGGGTGTTGTGATTGCTAGCTTGGTATATTCTTCCATTCCTCGATCAATAATACTTTGTGTTGGGAGGAAGACCCTGTGCCTTGTCCTCACTCTGTGAGGTTATACCTGTTAGAAAATAATGTATACGGCAAGGAAGCAAAACAAACCAGAAGTTTTCCAAAACTCCTAACAAGCTCCGTTTCATATTCGCAATATGCTCTCTCACGAGGACCCATGTTGCTGAAAGTTGTCGCAACATCAAAGTCAACCCATACAATACGTTCACCAGACACAACAAGCATGTTCTTCGGGTAAATATCATGGTGATGGACAAAGGCACCATGAATCTCTTTTATGCCATTAACCGCATCGCGAAAGCGATCTTCCGAATAATTCTCGCAATTTAGTCTTTCCGCACCCGGCAAGTACTCAAGAAGGATCCCCCTTGGTTGGAATTTATCGCCGACGAAATGTTTAAGCGGTGGGTGGAAAGCGGACGGATCAATTCGATCGATGTAGCCGTGAAAAGCCGGAACAAAGCCATCACAAACGCCGAATTCATGAAGATTGTGATAGGCGTCCAATTCGCAGCGAAAGCGGTTTAAATCTCGGCCTTTCTTTGTGTACCCTGGATCACCATTGTCATGGAATTGGTATATCAGCGTCGCCCTTGGAAGGCAAAATCGTACTCCCAAGCTTCATAGCATATTGTTTCCCAACTAGCTGTATCTCATATATCGTGGAAGTCTTTGAGCGACTGATCTCCCTTCTGATGTCAATATCTGAGGGACCTAGCTTTAAAGGGCAAGAAATCTGCGAATACATGGTTGTTGAGTGAGCTACATCGAGCCAAAGGGGAGCGAAGGAGGTGTTGGTGAGGAACCAGAAGGCTTGGCCGAATGACGCGCCTCCTTCCTCGAATTACGTAAGAGAAGTTGTCATGTGACGGTGTGAATCTAATGCATAGTAAGCGAAATAAGCACACAATAACAAAAATGTGAAAATACTTTAGCAGTTTAGTGCTGACAAACTTTTATGCATGGATCCACCATGCTGGCATCTCGACCTCCTCCCCAGCCTCCTCCTGTACATAAGATAATCACTTCCATCCTTCCAACGCAGAATAGTGATTGTCAAATTGCCAAGCACTTCGAGCTAGACGCCATTGCCCAAGCTCACTCACGGAACAAATCATCTATCCACCTCCTTCCTCATGGCTCAACCTCCATTACAGGGCGCCGGGCCCAATCAAGTCAGGGCTTATTTGGCCGATCTCCTTATTCACAAACACGATGCCTCCTCCGAAACCGCGAAATCTATCGCCGATCTATGGCAGCTAGGCCAAGGACGCGACTTGCGTCAGGCAAACATGACAAATTTCATTGATATATTTGGCGAACCAGCGGGTCGGTATCTGTATCGAACCGTTAGCGAAGATTTCCAAGCCGAGTGGCGGGGCTCTATCTTAGGCATGGTTAACTTTTGGACTTTTTCTACTGCATGCGTTGCTGCCGCCTTCTTCTTCATCCGAGCGGCTTGCGTTCGCTCAAATGTGCAGGTCAATCGAAGCCTAGCCCTCGCGGTCTTTTGTGGGCCGGTAATCCTCATTAGTGGGATTTTGGAGTGCTGTCACTGGGGCAGTTCCTTTTATATCATAATGGGTACGGTGGGGTTTCTTATGACTCCTTTGGCGATAGTGTTCGCTTTCATTGAGAATTTGGGTACATCAGCGGGGGCGAGAGCGAAGCAGGACAAGGATAGCAGAGTTAAAAACAAATAAGCTATTTCTCTCTCTTATGCTTGGGCTAACCGTACAGCTAAACAACCATAAAATGCTAATACATCTAAACATTATCATTAGTCTGTCCACTAGTCTTGTTCAATTCATTCAATCGATAACACTATTAATACTGACAACATCGCCTATACGCACGCTGCCCGCGCTCCCGCCGGACCCCCCACTATGCCCCGCCAGCACCCCCCGCGCCGGCGACCGGTAGATTCGTCGCGCTCGACGCTCTCGAATCGTCCATCGGACCGCCCGATCCGCCGCCGGGGGCGGCCGCGAACCCCGTGGTAGCCGTCGGGATCGCCCCCGTCGGCGACCGAGGCCGGGTGCACCGCCGACGACGTTGATCGGAATCGCGTGGTCGAGCTCCCTAAGGCGCCTAGACGCCGCTAGATTGTATCTCCTCCGAGCGTGATCCGTGAACGATCCGCCTTGGGTGATTTGGTCCGCGCCGGAGGATCGTGTTTGACCGTCGTAGATGGACTCTATCCGGGGAGATATATATCTCTATCTCTCGCACTCGATCCCTCGCACTCGATCCCCCCTTAGCCCTACGCTAACCCCCGGTCCCCTTTCCTCTATATACTCTATTAATCCCCTACTATCTTAAGGGGAATCTATCTTGAAGCGAGCATCCTCTCCCTAGGACTAAAATAGTAGGAATGTAGAGATAGAGGGTCTTATACGAAATTACGTCCCCGTCGGACAATATATATAGGGAATACTACCCCCCCCCTAAATATAGTCGGGCCCGTCCCCGGGGGGGGGGATCATAGTTAAGGAGTGGGTCTAGGGGGGGGGGGGGACGAGTCTAATACGTCCCCCCCCCCCCCTAACTACCCTAAATATTGATCTTTTTTGGTCGCTCTTTTTTAATCTTTTAATAGTAGAGCCTAACGGACCTAAATATAAAAAAATATCCTAATATTTCTATAGGGAAGAGGCTAATCTAGGCGTATTAGGGTTAGATGAATTATTTTTTGATGGGGGATGCCAAGACCTCTAGGTACGGATAGGCTATCCCTCTTTTGGCTAGCTTTTCTAAACCTATATTATTAGCCTTAGAGATCTGGCTATCTAGGGGACTTAGCTTAGTAGCTAGGGTAGTAAGGGTTTACTAATAACTATCTCTCGAGGTAAGATATTACTATATACTAAGCTATACTAGGTAAAACTATAGATTCTCTATACTAATAAAATATTTTAATTTAATTTAGATTACTAGTCCTTCTATAATATCTACTATAGAGCAGCACAAGCTTATTAGCCTTAGCCTATCTAGGTAGGCCCTATCTCTATCTAGGTCTACCCTAGTCTACGCTAGTCTATCTAGTCTATCTAGCCTAGGTAGATATAGTCTAGTCTTAGTAGATATAGTCTGGTTAGTCTAGTATAGGTAGATATAGTCTAGTCTAGGTAGCCTAGGTAGATGTAGTCCTGTCTAGATAGTCGTGGTCTGGTCTGTCTGGTGTAGGTGGTCGTGGTCTGGTGTAGGTGGTCGTGGTCCGGTCTGTCTGGTGTAGATGGACGTGGTCTGGTCTAGGTGACCGAGGTGGACGTGGTCTGGTCTAGGTGACCGAGGTGGACGTGGTCTGGTCTAGGTGGTCGTGGTCTGGTCTGTCTGGTGTAGGTGGTCGTGGTCTGGTCTAGGTGGTCGTGGTCCGGTCTGTCTGGTGTAGGTGGACGTGGTCTGGTCTAGGTGACCGAGGTGGACGTGGTCTGGTCTAGGTGACCGAGGTGGACGTAGTATGGTCTAGGTGGTCGTGGTCCGGTCTGTCTGGCGTAGGTGGACGTGGTCTGGTCTAGGTGGTCGTGGTCCGGTCTGTCTGGCGTAGGTGGTCGTGGTCTGGTCTAGGTGACCGAGGTGGTCGTGGTCCGGTCTGTCTGGCGTAGGTGGACGTGATCTGGTCTAGGTGGTCGTGGTCCGGTCTGTCTGGCGTAGGTGGTCGTGGTCTGGTCTAGGTGACCGAGGTGGATGTGGTCTAGTCTGTCTGGCGTAGGTGGACGTGATCTGGCCTAGGTGGTCGTGGTCCGGTCTGTCTAGTGTGGGTAGTCGTGGTCTGGTCTAGGTGACCGAGGTGGACGTGGTCTGGTCTAGGTGGTCGTGGTCCGGTCTGTCTAGTGTAGGTGGTCGTGGTCTGGTCTAGGTGACCTAGGTAGTCGTGGTCCGGTCTGTCTGGTGTAGGTGGACGTGATCTGGCCTAGGTGGTCGTGGTGGTCCTGGTCCGGTCTGTCTGGCGTAGGTGGACGTGATCTGGTCTAGGTGGTCGTGGTCCGGTCTGTCTGGCGTAGGTGGTCGTGGTCTGGTCTAGGTGACCGAGGTGGATGTGGTCTAGTCTGTCTGGCGTAGGTGGACGTGGTCTATCTAGGTAGACGTAGTCTAGTCTAGCTAGATGTGGTCTAGTCTATCTAGCCTAGATAGATGTAGTCTGGTATTCAAAAATATATATTTTGAAAGATAGTGCCTAGCTTTGAACCGCTGTCTTCCCCTAAAGATGCCTAGGGCTACCTATTAGCTACTAGACTACCTATATATATATATTACTAGGAAGCTTATTACTTTACTTATAGTATATATTATAGGGCCTATAAAGGTTAGTCTATATAGGTCTGCCCTGGTCTATCTAGGCCTGCCCTAGTCTGCCCTAGTCTGGCTAGTTGGCCTATAGGCCCTGGTCTATCTAGGTCTGCCCTGGTCTACCTAGGCCTGCCCTGGTCTACCTAGGTGTGCCCTACTCTAGCTAGCTAGCTAAGGGCCCTCGGGCTATCTAGGTCTACCCTGGTCTATCTAGGCCCGCCCTGGTCTATCCAGGTCTGCCATGGTCTGGCTAGGTCTACCCTGGTCTATCTAGGCCCGCCCTGGTCTATCTAGGTGTGCCCTACTCTGGGTAGCTAGCTAAGGGCCCTCAGTCTATCTAGGTCTGCCCTGGTCTAGCTAGGTCTGCCCTGGTCTAGCTAGGTCTGCCCTGGTCTAGCTAGGTCTGCCCTGGTCTAGCTAGGTATGCCCTGGTCTATCTAGGATTATCTGGCTAGTTATCTAGATATTTTTAAAGCTTACAGTAAAGGTCACGTGACTAAGACCCTATATTAGAAAAAAGCCACTCCGGGACTAACAGGGTGGCCCACTTTGTATGGTAAAATCACTAAATATAGTCGGGCCCGTAGCCCCCCCCGGCTACCATAGTTAAGGAAGTGGGTCCAGGGGGGGGGGCTACGGGAAAAACACGTAGCCCCCCCCCCCAACTACCCTAAATATTGATATTTCTTGGTCGCTTTTTTTTGATCTTTTAATAATAGAGCCTAATCGACCTAGATATCAAGAAATATTGTAATATTTCTATCTAGAAGGGGCTAATCTAGGAGTGTTGGGGTTAGAGGAATTATTTTTTGATGGGGGATGCCAAGACTTCTGGGTACGGATAGGCTATCCCTTTTTTGGCTAGCTTTTCTAAACCTATATTATTAGCCTTAGAGATCTGGCTATCTAGGGGACTTAGCTTAGTAGCTAGGGTAGTAAGGGTTTACTAATAACTATCTCTTGAGGTAAGATATTACTATATACTAAGCTATACTAGGTAAAACTATAGATTCTCTATACTAATAAAATATTTTAATTTAATTCAGATTACTAGTCCTTCTATAATATCTACTATAGAGCAGCACAAGCTTATTAGCCTTAGCCTATCTAGGTAGGCCCTATCTCTATCTAGGTCTACCCTAGTCTACGCTAGTCTATCTAGTCTATCTAGCCTAGGTAGATATAGTCTAGTCTTAGTAGATATAGTCTGGTTAGTCTAGTATAGGTAGATATAGTCTAGTCTAGGTAGCCTAGGTAGATGTAGTCCTGTCTAGATAGTCGTGGTCTGGTCTGTCTGGTGTAGGTGGTCGTGGTCTGGTCTAGGTCCACCGAGGTGGATGTGGTCCGGTCTGTCTGGCGTAGGTAGACGTGATCTGGCCTAGGTGGTCGTGGTCCGGTCTGTCTGGCGTAGGTGGACGTGGTCTAGTCTAGGTGGACGTGGTCTGGCCTGTCTGGCGT